CCCTCTGAAATATTCACTCTCCTGTGGACAGGACTTGTATTTTTCATTCGTATATTCGCTGAATACTAGAAACCAACCCAGGACATACCATCCCGGAGACAATGTTACAGCTCTAGAGTTGTTCTCTTATGAATCCCCTTTAATTACCAGTGGATTATTCCGCACCAGTCCCTCCTTTGTCGGTGTAATGTGAGCACCCGCGGGCCTACAGCTATTAGCTGTTACTCCCTTAAACAAGAGTAATACCGAGAGAGACAGAGTGTGTTCTCCGTCAGGACAGGAAGAGGGGAGGCTTATGATAAGAAGAAATGGATAATCTGCCGGTTATATGAACTTCCATCATCCGATAGGGATCATAAAAGTAATGAAAAGGCTTGAAATGGTCATCCTTTAAAATGCAGCAGACGCAGCTGTTTTCATACTGCATATTTTCCTGATTCATTTCATACAAAAAAAAAACCGATCCGCGACATTACCAATCTGCCGCAGATCGCGTGTATGCGTGGAGACGCAATCCACAATCCAAGTACTGAAATGGATTGTTTCAAAGTTGATTCACAGCTGCAGTTTGCTGAGCGAGAGGCGGGTTTTGCACGCTCAGCCTCGTGCTCTAATAACGGTCGTTCTTTAAATCTGACCATGAGCGTAAAGCTGTGTGTGTGGGGGGGGGGGCGCGACCTTCCTCCGACCACAACCATCAACTCCGCCTTTCCTTTTTGAACTTGACCACGCACCTGTAACATTTTCCGTGGACGCATCGTGCCCGGTTGTCAAAAAATCTTTCAACAGACAGAAATAAAAGCTGGCAAAGCTGAAAACCCGCCTTTGTGGTTGTTCCCGCTGCAGTAAGTGTTTCCAGGAACACATTTCACCACGATGACTCACACACACACACACACACACACACACACCCGCAAGGTGAAAACAACCCCAGCGTCGCTGTTGCTGCTGGTAATACATCATTTCAGCAAGATCCTTGACGGTCACCTCTGATATCACATTTTCCGCAGATTAACATCTTAAACCCCAAAAAGTCAAAGACGTTGCGTTGCATTCGTTCGATATCCCCAAGTGATGTTTTCGTTTGCGACTGAGCTCTCTAACCTCCCGACAACACGTCTTTTGTTCTTGCTGTGTCCTCGTTGCCCCGTGTGATGGAGCAAATGTTGCAGTTTCACTGTAAACGCCCCCCCCGCCCGAAGCCGAGTTCCAGCCCGGACAGCTGGACGAGCTGCAGGCCGGCACTCCTTTCAGCAGATCAGCAGATCCTTCAACTTCAGATAATGCTTTACCAATCACTCACTCCCACTGACTAGGATGACATAACCGGGGGGGGGGTAATTGTGACTGATTTGGTCATGAGCAACACTTGGGATGGTTTCCACTGCTGAGATTTAAGGATGAAACTTCTCACCTACGGACTGAGTCAGAAAGGTTGTGATTTGAGATTTTGTTTGACTGGAATCTGGTTAAATCTGAATGTTACACCACGTTTTTGCAATCTGTACGGCGCACACAGCCTGTATATTACAGATTATCTGGAAAGAAATACGTAAATCTGGAACCAAAACACCTACAAAACACGGACCCGTCGTCCAGGACGGACTGGCACGCAGAAGCTGCTGCCGTAAATACAGAACAGTATCAAGCCTATGAAGCAATTTCTTCAGTTCTCTCAGTAGATTGATAGAGTGACCCCCTCTGAATACCTCAGCAGCTGCTTTGTTTTAGTTTGATATTCCCCAAAGGCCTCTTCCTCTCTTTCTTCTCTACTTTCTGCTCCTACCTGTCGACTGGAGCCTATATTGTGCTCTGGATGTGCGAGCTGAAGGCCGCGGAGAAAGGTCCCTTTGACAGATACCGATCTGGTCAATGCGTCTCAAGCCATAACCTTATACCCCAGCAGGCTGCTTTCATTACCTCCACCCATACAGTGTGTGCATAACACACTCCTGTGTGTGCGTCTGAGACTATCGGAGTCTACTGTATATGTGTGTGCATGTTGGTGTGCGTGCCTTGTCCCTACCTTTGCATGTTTTGTCGTGCCTGTAAGCACATAGATTCACACACGTCATTTTTTTCACAATAGCTTTTATCTTTTTCTGGAAGGACTTTGCGTATATATTGATGCACGGCCTGCTTCTATTTCTACTGACATCCTTGCTCGGTTGAACTCTTATCAGCTCTTCCACCGCTGCAGATGTCCGATCACGCGCGCCGCTCACTTCAGGCAGCGCACACAGACACGCAGCGTACCCGCGCTTGTCTGTCGGCTGCGTATCCCTTCGTCCGGCCCTCTCATTAGTCAGTTATTCCACTGATTTACGCTATCGCTAACATTATCTTATTATGACAGCAAGTTCCCGTAATCGTTACATATACCTGGGCTGACTCGAGCCCTTTCATACGCGCGCACACAGATGCACGTTCAGAGTACAGTAATATTCCCGCCGTATCTGCCGGTGCTGACGGCTGCCGTCGTGGGCAGAGGGTCATTTTTTATGATGTGTGTTTGGGTCTGTGTCAGAGAGAGCGGCGGGAGGCGATGGCAGACGGGTTAGGGGACGTGTTTCTCTCTCTCCGCTCTCTGTTTAGTGTAAACTGCGACAGGAGCAGAGTGTCCGTGACGGCAGAAGCCTGGAGGGGGGGTGCGCGGGGGTGCAGGGGGGCGGGGTTGAATCATCAGGCGGCTCATCGCGGCTTTGCTGGAGGAACCGGGTGCAGAGAGCCCCGAGAGTGTGACACTTGGCCGTGGCTTTGTGAAATCTTTCAAGGAGGAGTCATGTCACACAGCTGATGTTGTGGATGTCTGCATTGTATTAATTATTTGTTAGGGTGTGTGTGTGTGTGTGTGTGTGTGTGTGTGTGTGTGTGGTTAAAGCAGCCTTAGTCACACACCAACACGGAAAAGGGCTTATTTCTGGATTAGTGTGTCAAACTGGATTTGGAACGACACACTCGGGGGCACACACACACACACACACACACAACAACACTTTCCCTCTTACAGCCTGTTTAAGAGCATGATGAGGCCTGTTATAGATTTCTTTTCATTCATAATCTGCCCATGTGATCGAGATCTTCACAATGAGCCGGCTCGCTCGCGCACACAAACCACCGTAACGGCACGGCTCTCATTAATGCACGCGCACATACATCATGTATGTATCAGTGGCCGTAAATATGCACATACATGCGTGAGTGTGTGTGGGAAAATGGGCTGTTGGTGAGGCGGAGCGTGAAAGCCGTAGTAAACAGGGGCCATTATCAGCGATAATGACTCCACTGCCAACATGTGGCTGTTTGACTTGTTGCGCGTTTACTGTGAGAAAAGCAGAGATAAGGCCGCAGAGAAAGTGAGGGGATTTGGGCAGAGAGAGACTGCAGGGGGGCAGAGTGCCGCTGTCGTTGAATAGGGAAAGGAAATGGTTAAGCAGGAAGTGGGTCTCAGGCAGAGGTGTGGGGATGGAGGTGTTTAGGGGCGACATGGGAACACACAGTCGCCCTAACGAAGCAAGGCCCGACCCCCCCCCCCCCCGCCCCCGCAGACTTCATAGGCCGGGAGGGAAAGATATTAGAGAGACAAGGGGGGGACAGGGACGGGACGGGCCTATATCTGTGAAGGACAGATGCTTGGCATCAATCAAGGTGACTACTAGACACAATGTCTCAGTAAAAGCAGAACATCAATGTAAATATCTGTAACCGTGCTTCATACATCTGTTCTTCCCTTTGAGGCAGCAAAGTCTTTCTAAATCCTTCTTTTTCAATAATTGGCTGTAAAATATCAAATTAAAGCGGGCTTTCAGGCAAATACAGTAAACAGATCATTTCAACTTTTTTTTCTAGACCATTTTCACTTGGCAAGCTAGTTCACCAAAAATCCTAATTAATGCATTTTCCAATCATAAACCTATTTTACCAAAGAGCAAAACTACTTCCCGAAATGTAACAAAAGTTAGCGTAGTTTTGGACAACATTCGTGAACCCAATAGAAGGATGCGAGACATTACGGTCACAGACTCGTGGCAGCCGGTTTTTAGTGACGGAGTGAACCTCGACCCTCCCATCAGCCGCTCTGTGGCGCCGCCGGATCAGCCGCCGCTCTCTGCCCTCTTTTCTGCTCTTGTCAACGGGGACAGACTGACAGATTCCAGAGAGACAGGGAGAGGGAGACGTTTCAGTCCGCTTCTGTCTAAGCCATTACTTCCTGGTTGGGTTATTTACTAAAGCCCACTTGTTTTCCCCCATCGACTCTAAAGCTCATTGAGTTCCCTCATTCCTCAGTCGTCTTACCTCAAATCCCGAGAGGAAGCGGGCGACTGTGGCCTTGGTTTATTATGGGTGAAGGTTTGAGGCCGAGCTGAAACCGTTTTTCATATTAATTGCAATAGTGAACAAAAATATCCATGGATTTTGTCATACGACACAAAGTGTCTGCTTTGAATATTGAAACCATGAAAGGCTTTGGCGACGCAGCTTCCAGCTATTTGGCTCCAAGCCAGTGGAACAACCGTCCCGAGGGCTCGAGAGGAGCTGACAGTGTTCATATTTTTAAACATCTTAAACAACTTTTATGGGCTGTGGTTTAATTATTCGTACCTCTTCGATCCACATTTTTATATCCATACAAACTATTTTGTGTGTTCAACTTTTTATTGTTGACCATTGTGAATTGTTTCATTCCTCACGGGGTTTAATGCTGTATTGATCTTACCACAGGCTATAAACGCCAAGGAATTTAAATCCATTAATTTGAGTGATGAGTCAGTGAGTGCCTGCCAATGCTTTTGTTTCGCTGTAATTTCTTTTGACAGTTTTCTCAAACTGCCAATAGAGATCGGTGGAAAACAACAACAACCTGTATGATCTCACTCAATCCAGCCTGACCTAAGAACACTGCTCCATCTAGTGGCCTTTTTGGTAAAAACCTGCGGCTCTCTGACTTGTTGAGATGTTTCTGGGCATTATTTGAACGTCTCTTGTCTCTTTGCATTCAGGATGCTGATCCCTCTGTTCGATGAGGACACTGGGCTGCTCGTACTGGCTGGAAAGGTGAGAGACAGTCTGTTCTGTGTTCTGAGCAGGTGACGCATCTGTGGAAGCGTTTTGAATGAATGAATGAACGATGTGCTCTCTCACACAGGGAGACACGGCGATCGATTGCTTCGAAGTATCTGCGTCCGAGCCTTTCTTCTCGCAAGGTAAAGCTGCTCCTGGTTCATCCGTCGGGCCGGTTTGTTCCAGCTCTGCCTCCCGGGGTTTGATCCCTCACTTTCCTCTTTTTCTGTGCATATTCTCGCTTGCAGTGAGCCACTGCCTGACGGACACCTCAACGCGCGGCGCCGCCGCGGTACCCAAGGCGGCGTTGGATGTCCTGTCCTGCGAGGTGATGCGTGTCCTCCAGCTGACGGACGGCTGCATTGTGCCAATCAGCTATCAAGTCCCTCGCAAGGTGCGTACCTGCACAGAAACCGCGGCTGCACAATCACGACATCTGCAAGCGAAGTGCGTGTCGTTTTTTCACGTCCTCCTGCTTGCGCGCACTTGTCTCGCAGAATTCAAACCAGGAGTTTCACGAAGACCTTTACCCGGACACAGTGGGCACGACTCCAGCCATGTCTGCCGAGGAGTGGTGGGAGGGAGGGAACAAGCAGGTAAACGCTCCGCGCTCCCAACCAGTTTTTCCTGTCGTCACAGCGGAGGGACGCCTCCAACTGTCGCCTCTGTTTGTCCTCAGGTGGAGAAGGTCAGCCTGAATCCAGACAAACAGCACAAAACCAAGGCTGCGCCAGCGAAAAAGAAGGAGCCGGCCAGTGGAGGGAGCAAGGAGGTATAAAGGGCTTCTGTGTTAGCGACCATCAAGGCTTCACCGGCCGCCTTTAACCTAACGCTGCTTCCACAGGATCCGGCCCGCGGCTGCTCCACCTCCAGCAGTCCCCTGAGCACTCCCAGCAGCAGCGCCGCCGCGTCCCGCTCTCCATCCTCCGCCTCCGGTCTGTCCTCCAGCTTCCTCCCCAGTCCCAGCCCTGGTCCCAGCCCGAGCGCCAGGCCCATCCAGAGCATGCTGGGTACAAACAAACACACCCGGGAATCTCTCACTTTTTCATCTCGCTGTTTCGACGGCAACGTTTCTTTCCGTGACAAATGTGCTGCGTTTGAATTGTCTCCCATCCAGGGCAAACCTCGAAGCTCCGTCACATCCAGGGAGCAGTGATGCACCGGACGACGCACATCACCAACCTGCGTGGCCTCAACCTCACGACACCAGGGGAGTCCAACGGCTTCTGTGTCAACCGCCAACGCGTGGCAGTGCCCCTCGCCATCTCCGGGGGCCAGATCGCCATATGTGAGGTACAGCAGCTCTTTTTCATCTGCTCACGAGGAAAGTGAGACCGCTGCGTACTGGATGTGATTGACTGAATGATTTGAGTCCTGTCCTCAGCGCTCTCAGCCTGGAAGGCTACCCGACACGGCCCTGCCCACCATCCAAAACTCTGTCAATGTGGTGGACTTGTCCTGGGACCCCTTTGACCCCCACCGGCTCGCCGTGGGTGAGTGAATGCGTAGACTGGGCTTGTGTGACCATCTGCGGCGTTGTGTGACCGCAGTGGTTGTGTCTGCGTGATTTGACTCTTGTATTTTCCATCCCTGCCAGCTGGTGATGATGCAAAGATCCGGGTGTGGCAGGTGCCAGAGGGAGGGCTGAAAGAGACCCTGACTGAGCCTGAGGTCCTCTTGCAAGGTAGGACCGAACCCAACTACCCGAAACTACCTAAATTCAGTCTTCTCTAGAAAAGATTGTTGATTGACTTGACGAACAACAACAGAAGTTGGGTTGATTGACAGCTGCTCTGACCCCCCCCCTCGGCCCTCTTTTAGGCCACACAGAGAAGATTTACTCCATCGAGTTCCACCCTCTGGCCAGCGGAATCCTGGCGTCTTCATCCTACGACCTCACAGTCAGACTGTGGAACCTAGAGGCCGAGGAACAGGTCAAGCTCCTCACCGGACACCAGGACCAGGTGGGTGACCAAGATCCAGACCCCCCATCAAGTATAAAACATCATATGAAACTGTTTGGCCGCAGTGTGGACATTTGGAGTATTTGCTGGAGTAAATACATCAACTGGTCGTTGTCGTCTCTGAGCTTCTTCCTTCTTGGTTCCTCTTGTTTGTTACCTTCAGATCTTTTGCATGGCGTGGAGCCCAGACGGCAAGCTGCTGGCCACAGTGTGCAAAGATGGCAAAGTTCGCATCTACGAACCCCGCAAGTCCACTGCACCTGTGCAGGTATGTACAACGCAGCAGAGAAATGGGAGGATGCAGTAAAACGAATGTGTATTAGGTGTTTATTGTGAAAATGACATTTCACATAATTTACTATGTTTACTCCATTACATCACACTTAAACTTAATTGAACAACATTGAACTCTATGATCATGCCTTTGATGTGTGTAGTTGTTTGTCGATAGTGTGTAACTGCTCTATTAAAGCAGTAGACGGCCTTAATGATCTACAGTGAGTTAAAATATCAAGCAATGCCCCGCAGTGTTGTTTATTCCCATGTTCTTTTTGTTTCATTAATTGATTAAATCGTAACGGAATACTTTGCATTTACATTTGTCTTTTAGGAGGGCACAGGTCCTGAGGGCCACAGGGGAGCTCGTGTGGTGTGGGTGTGTGAGGGAAAGTACCTGTTGGTGTCAGGATTCGACAGGTAATGAACGTGGAAAATACTTTTTGGTTTAAGCGTTTTCAATGTAATATATATTATACGCAAGAGTGATGTCAGTGTGCAGTCAACGTAACTAAACAGAACTGTGTGAGCGTCCTGCAGAGAAGGCAAACTACATGTTGTATTTAATGCATCATAATTCAGTTTTATCAGGGTCAGTCCACAGAAAACACTCACCATGAGCTCCCTTGTCGTCTCTGTGCAGCCGCAGTGAGAGACGACTCTCCCTGTACTCGGCTGGCTCCCTGTCCTCTGGAGCCATAGCCGCCACCAACATAGACACCTCTCCCTCCACTCTCATCCCTTTCTACGACCCCGACACCAGTGTGGTCATCCTCACCGCAAAAGTGAGCGAGTAGAAAACAAAATACAACCACATAGGGGGGTCCATTTGCATTTCAAAGCCGGGAGCAACATGAGCGTTAGCTAAAAGCTGTGTGTTGACTTTGTTTTCCAGGGCGATACACGAGTGCACATTTATGAGATTGCAGCTGAAGAGCCGTACTTTATGGAGTGCAGCAGTTTTAACTCTCCTGAGCCACATAAGGTACTGAGACTCATGAAGGACGTCCTATTCTACTTGTCTGTCACCCTACCTTTGCATACTCCACATGGTGCAATCACCCTCGTTTGCCACACTCCTGATGATTTCCCGTTTGCAGGGCTTGGCCTTTCTGCCCAAGTCGGAGTGCAACGTGCGCGACGTGGAGATCGCCGTGGGGCTCATGCTCACCAAGACCGCTGTCGAGCCGGTGGCCTTCAGAGTGCCGCGGGTCAAGGTGAGCCAGCTACGCCACCTAGTGGCCTCAACGCTGCGTATTCTCCTACCTGCTGGTTGTTTCTAATGAACATCCATTGCTTTTAGTATATAAAGTATAAATAACTGCGTGCGTGACTCTGTGTCTCCAGAAAGAGTTTTTCCAGGACGACTTGTACACCGACACCGCTGTCTGCTGGGAACCAGCGCTGACTGCCGCCAGCTGGCTGTCGGGCTCCAACGGCCAGCACAAGAAGATCAGCCTGAAGCCTGCAGACATGACACCATGTTCGTACCTGCCAGGAGACTTAGTCCAACGGGCCGCTCCACCTGCAGCCTACCTGTAGGATTTGTTGGTTTCTGACTGTGTGTTTCTGCAGTGAGCGAGGCCCCCAAAGAGGCTCCGGTGAGGAAATATCTGCCCTCGTCAGTTTACCTGGAGGAGAAGACTGATGAACAGAAGAAAGATGAGGTGAGGAGGAGCCCGTCTTGTGTCGTGATGACGCAGGATCAAACCCGCTACACGCTGTGGTGGCCGAATGTGCAAAGCGGTATTTTTCTCATGCGTTTTGATGCTGTGTTTGTGGCCCAGCTGCTCAGTGCCATGGTGTCTAAGCTGGGGAACATGGACGACCCGCTGCCCCAGGATTCCTTCGAGGGGGTCGACGAGGACGAGTGGGTGAGTGAATGTGGTGGAAACGGCTCTGGATTATAATGACAGACATTGTGCTCATGGTTTCCAGTTACATAGGTGTTACTGAGACAACAGGGGGCGACGAGTAAAGCAAGGTCTCTAATCCGTCTCTGGTAACTGTGCACGTTGTGTTGTCCAGGATGACTAGAGCCATCTCGCCTTTGGTGCAATCGCCGGGTCCAACAGCAGAGAAGACCTACTGTCGAGGTCACAACGCCATACACGGGTCTTCGGAGCTTAATCAGCAAACATCTCATCCCAACGGAACGCACAAAAAATACTGTACAATGTGAAAGTTAAAAAAGATGTGGGAAAACAATGACAGTAACACCCTTTGATATCAGTATTTAAAACGGTATCGGTGTAAATGTTTGGAAAATCAGATGCCATGTTGTCTAGTTGGGTGTTTATCATATAAGACTGCACAAAACTGGATATGAAAATACATACACAAAAATCTGTCTTTGATTAATATGACACAGTAACTGCTTTGTTGTGGTAATGCAGACAAAAAAACGTCACTATTCACAATATTTTGAAAGATATCCCACCGTGCCAAACGAGAAAATAGTCCATTTAAATCTTGAATCACGACTGCTCACACATTTCTATTAAACCAGGGCCGAACAATACGCTTATTTTAAATGGATGAGTACCGCTGCTTGCTTTTTTTTACTGGCCTGTATTTGAGCACGCTCATTCACAAATGTGTCTTTGAAGGACGAAATGTTGTCATTGATCGCATTGCATGAGTGAATCTCTCGTCTTCCTGTTTAATCGGTGAACCACACACATGGTTACTGTAACACAGTTCAAGCCTTCAGAAGCAGAAACGCCACTGAGGTTCATGTTGGGCCATGAAATGGGAACAACATTCAGTTCACTTCTTCTTTGTTAGCCAATGATACAATGAAATGCAATTAACAGTTTATGTGTACTTTGTAGAATTGTTTAAATGTTTTTCCATGCGGTAGTCTTACAATAGTCTTATAACCAGGGGTTAAAGGTTAATGAAAATCAGATGATACGCATTGAAAGCCAAACCACCTTATTTTTGGTGTTTTTAGAGGGGCCTTTGTATACTTTAAGATGAGTATTTCATGTCTTTCTTTTTTTTAGCTGGTTAACTTTGTATAATGATCTTGGTTGTCAGAATGTTTTTACGGTATATTCCTTACTTCAATGAGCTAATTTTCTAATCAAATGTTAACAATAGGAATTAAGAAACAATGGTTTTAATTTACCAATAACAGTACAGTATTAATAACGTATGGCAAAATAGCCATAACTGGTATCATGTAATCTCCAATTAAGTCTTGAGCCGAACATTTGTTAACAACCGGACTGAAACAAACCATCATTTCAGTCATGCCTGGTTGTGCCAATTGTGTTGAACAGGTGATCTGCCATACTTTCTAATATTTGGATTGAAGTAACTGCCTTCCATTGTGTTGAAAAAAAAGCCTTCCTTTTTATACACCGAGTATAGCATTGTTGTTGTTTCGTCTGTCGTACTTGAGGAATGGTTTGGGGATTTTTTTCAATATTGTCTTGCAATAAACACACATTTGAACCAAATACTTCTTGTTATTTTGTATTATGGGTCAGCATGACAACTGTAATGAAGAGATGTGTGGAAATCGCTTAAGTGATTGCTGAGCTTCTATGTATACTTTCTCTCGGAGACTGAGTAGAGAAAATACGTGTATAAAATAAATGAGATGCATTCATATATCATAAAATACATTTTTTTTAAATAAGAATATATATATATATATATTATTTTGATTATATAACAAATCGAATGTGCCTTTATATTAGTTATAAAATGCCTACTATAAAGAAGCTGCAGTTGTCCTCCGCGCCAGTAGGTGTCCCCGTTAGAAATGACGCCAACCACCCGCCTCATCTTGAATTTAGTGCTGTCGGCGTTTTCTTGAACTTTGACCCCTAGGTAACCTTCATTGGTGTACATGTGTGATAACAGAAGCCGGGCACCGTCTCCAGGACCTGTGTGATATTATAAAATGGTAAGGATACATTTTGGGATGGTCGTGTGAATAGTGAGTGAGTCCGCCCTCATGCTAGGTAGCATTAGCACGCAACGTTGCGTGTGTGTGTGTCACAACTGGCTTTCTAGAACAGTCTAGTTACGTTGAGGTAACAAATTATGGCTAACGTTACATAATGTGATCAAATGTGACTTAATAAATGTCCCAGTTGTATGAAGACGTTAGAACAGAGGCCACGGCTGTGATGAAGGTGCCCTTCCGTCCACATCTACAGAGACTTCTTACCCCAACATGACATCAGCCTTATTGATTTTGGTCTCTGTTACGTCACTTGTCAAAATGAGGAGAGCTGAGTCTCCTTAATTCGCTCTCTTTTCGGGTCTTGCACGACTGTCGCCTTTGAATTACACGTCTGCTCGTGTCTCGTGATTAAACTCTGTGTATGTTTGCATGATGATGCGTTTGATTTCCTCTGCAGGCTAAATATCTTGCACAGATCGTCGTGATGGGAGCACAGGTGGTGGGACGTGCTTTTGCTCGTGCTTTAAGGCAAGAATTTGCAGGTATGATCCGTCACCATCCACCAAGTGTATTATTACTAAGTCACACACGCCGGTAGACGTGTTTGCTCAGTCATTGCACTAAACCGTAAGCCCATTGCCTGCTTTGCACTAGGTTTGTCATTATATAATGCACTTTATAGAGATAACGTCACGTGGTTAGCTTCATTAGACACATTATTCACAATTTAAAAAGCATGTGTGTGACGTGCGGAACGAGCTTTATGCATTGGCTGTGTGTGTAAAGTAGCCCAATAGTTTGGATCCCTGATTTGCAATTTCGTAAGGCTCCTATGATATCAAAAGAAATGTCCCAATGCCCAAATTAAATATTAGACATTTTGGTTAACCATTCTGCACCCCACAGATCTGTTTTTATTTACATTTTTCATACACCACCCAGCCCTGGTTGCAGCTTCATGGGGGGGCGTTCCCGCATCCAATGACGTCGTCTGCTAAACTGAAGTTGTGCGTATTTGTGTTTCTCTTGCAGCCAGTCAAGCGGCAGCGCAGGCGAGGAACAGCGCAGGTCAGCACTCTGCTGCAGCCTCCAGCATCACCGGGATGAGCCTACAAGAAGCGCAGCAAATCCTCCATATCTCCGAACTCACCCCGGAGGCTATTCAGAAGGTAGAAACACCAAGGAGACAAAGTCTTGCTACTGATCTCTACCGCCGTCAATTACTTTATCAAGTTATATTTGGATAGTCGTTACAGATTTCCTAGCCATCACTTTTCTAGGATTTCCCTTCACTGTAGCGTGCATGTACTACAAATCCTTAAAACATGTTGCTCTGTCAGTGGAGACAGTGGTTTCTTTCTTTAACCGAAATCAATAATCTTCTCTGATTCTGCGACTTGTATGTCCAAGCATCTTGATAATAGAAATAGTTTTCCCAACTTTCAACCTACCTTGTGAGATGTAACACTGGCTCTTTGCACTTAAAAGATGCCCTAGCTGTAGAACATTGTCACGGTTAGTTACACCTTACAATAGAGTTAACATCGTTAATATCATCAGAACAATATTAATGATTCATGTTCTAACAATGATGAGAAAAAGGGTCAACGTGTGTCCTCCCTGTGTTCATCTCTTTATCTCCAGAATTATGAGCACCTTTTTAAAGTCAATGACAAGTCGGTGGGTGGTTCATTTTACCTACAATCAAAAGTAAGTATTCTTTTTTTATCTATTTTCAAATTCTCTGCACTGAATGAGCCATTGTGTGAATTTGTTCATTTAAATGTCTTCTCATATATTATTGTTGTTATTGGTTGTTTGCAGGTGGTGCGTGCAAAAGAGCGTCTAGATGAGGAACTAAGTATTCAGACGCAAGATAAGCAGCAGTCACATCAGAAAACTGAAACATGAAGAATGAAAGTATGCCGACCCCCTTTCCTCCTCCCATCCTCTGTAAATTATAACCCAATAAAAGCCTTCTCCTTTTCTCTAGTTCTGACTTTGTCTATTTTGTAGGGTTTGTTGTTTTTGGAGAGCACAGACAATAAAATACGGGCTTATTCATTCAAAAAAAGACACAGGTATCAAATACAACTTTATTAAACTTTTTTTTCTTTTCATTGACAATATTATCAATATCGTAATAAAATTCCTCTAAAACAGGAGAACATTGCTATTCTGTACCAACTTGAGACTTTTACAACTCTAAAATTCTGCATGTTCAAACACAGAACATGACGCCAGGAAAAATATATTTTCATATAATCATTTTTTTTCATATAGTGTATAACTTCTTTATTTTACCTGTAATAAAAAGGCACTTGGAAAAATTAAAATACTGACAATATCTCACAAATGTGCAAAAAACATAACTTGGAACAGGCCTTGCGTGGCCTTAGTCTTATCATTAACCCTTTGTGCAACACTGTGGCTCTTCGGTCAATGGCAATCCTTTACAATGACACTGAAACAAAACCTGTGCCCTGGATTTCAGTTCCACCTTTCGTAGAATTAAGTGAGGGTTACTTTAAAATCTCCAGGAGCAGGTACCACTTTTATACTGTAAAAAAAATGACATCAAATTCCGATATTTTAACGACTCAGGATACATTTTACAATTATTCTTTGTTTTCCGAACAACTGCTGAACAACGCTGTACAATGGCGAAGGACGTGGCAACATCCCCGTATCCACACACGTTATGAGGGGAACAAAAGTGCAGCTCGTTACAGACGGAGCTCAAAGGGTTAATGGATCATACAGCTTATTTGATATTGAAAAGATGTGGACCCTGCGAGGGTCCGTGTCGTATTATTCAGCTTTCTGCCGCCACTTTCTGTGTCCCTATAGCTCCGGTCCGCAGAGGAGAGACAGACAGGGAGGAGAGCCGCCGCATCTGTGGGTTCACTGTTGCCACGGAAACCACGTCTAGCCTACTTAACACCTGTTTCTGATGACGTCACGCGCCAAGGTTGTCCACTGACAACTAGAGATTCACTGCAATGCCCGGCCAGAGGGGCTGCTGATGTGTTCTAGAAGATGGGGGGGGGGGTTTAGGAAACGACGATGAGTAAGAACCACTGCAGCAGAAACAAAAGGAACGCGGTTCATCCCTGCTGTGAATCCGCCCGCCTGTTGGGAGGCCCCAAACAGGAAGGGTTGTATTTGTTGATGTTAAGCGTAAACGCGGCTTGTTAGTCGGCCTGTTTTCCACATCTCTGGTCAAACACTTTGTGGCCAGGAGGTGGGGAAGTGGAGCTTTTTCGGGGGGGTTATCTCTAAAGTATAACAATTTAAAAAGAAGAGGAAAAACAAAACCAGAGGGCAGTCAGAGTTCAGTGGCCTAGTTTATGTGCCGGCTGGTATGCCTGTGAGCCGCTGCCACATCGAGCGCAGCCGGTGTCTTCAGAGCCGAGAGGGCCGCTCGCCGGCCCGGTGACCAGATGGAGGCCGGCTGCACGGGAAAACAGCTCTCCTCTGCCTCTTCTCCCCCCCCTGGCCCGCTGCCTCTCCCCCCTCGTCTCTTCCTCTCCCTTGTCCATTCATTCAGCCAATCCTGTCCCTGTTTGCTCCCATGCTTTCCCAGCACCGCGCGCCATTTCACAGTCGGATGTTGTTTCTCCGAGGAAGTTAAAAGTCAGAACGAAAGGAGCACAGTTTGCAGATCTAATTTACCCCCGGAGATAACTCCGTCAGGACGCTTCATATGGACTCATATTTTATGCCTAGGCCGTATCTAAGCGATCGCTTAATGTGATCGTCACGGAGGAATGTGATAGAATTTGGTCCACCAGATGTAGATGTTCTCAGTTCCCCCCTCAGAAGAGGTCTCCTTCTTTAGCTCGTCACTGACCCCACAGGTCGTCTCCAAACCTCCTCCTGTCGCTCCCTCGTCTTCTCCTCAACCCCTCAAAGGACTCATCCTCGACAGCAGAAAGCTGAGTGCAGAGCAGCCGTCACAGAACACAACAAGCAACTTCAACATCAGAAAAAAATGTCTCGTCTGAACAGCATAAAAAAAAGTGACAACAATAAAAAAAAAACAATTTAAAAAAAAAAACAGCTTACAACTAATTATCTCTAAGACTGGGCATTGGAAAAAGTAAGACCCAACACAAGCAGGGATGGAGGAGTGAAAAAGGAGGGTGGTGTGTGACAGTCTCTTGAGGGAATGATCCTGGTGGTGTGACGATCCTCTCCTGCTCCCCTTTGCATCGCACATGCACGAGCACCGGGCGGGCACGCGAAGCCTCCGCCGCCATGAAGACCCTGGCAAAAATTACATTTCTTTCCTATTTATTTTTTTTTTTTCAAAGAACCATCACTTGGCAGTAACATTTTGTAAAACATGTGAGGAATATAATATGTGGTAAGTGCGTGTAGACCGCTTGATTGAACCTCGAGAAATGTTTTCCCAGACTTCAAGTGAGTCTTTTTTCTATTTTTTTCCTTTTTTTTTGCCCCTTTGGACAGAGTTCAATGAGGCAGTTTGCAATAGTGTGGCTTCCTAGTCAGTCCAGCTGTATGTGGCATCGAGTGCATCACGACCCCCTCAGAGGCACAATAACCGCCCCCCCCCCCCCCCCCCCCCCGCTCTCCACGTGTTTTTGGCACCGCATGGGAGCTTGACTAAACTTCAACCGGCCGACCACCTGTTTTTTACAGCTGGTTACAGATTGGGTCACAACAACAAGACGCCAGTGTTTATCACCACGTCGGCCCTTTCCGACACAAATCGGTTGTGTGGATTCAATTACGGTAAAAGCAGCTGGACAGTCCTGGAAGGGAGGACAGTGCGAGCGGTGTAAACGGGAGAGCGGGGCGTTTTGCGCGTCGAGTCCCGCCAGAGGGGGGGCAGCCAGACGTCTCACTAGTGCACGTGAGGGAGTGAGCGGGTCGGTCATTGTCAGCTGATGCGAAAACCGTCTGTCTGTTAAGTCATCAGTTCGCTGTGGGCCCTTTAAAAAAAAAAAAAAAAAAAAAGCCCCTAGTCTGCACACAGACGGGTCCATATTGGTCACCCTCCCCAAACTGGGGACAGATTGTCAAAAGTGCTCTCTCCCAGTTCATGTAACACTGGGGGGGAGCTGAGAGGTTAGCAGCAGTTTTGAGGTTTCAGTACTTCAACCAGTTGACACTCGTATACGCCAAGTGCTTTGTTTAATTTAACTGTCTCAGGGCTGAAACTGCAAATCCAAGACAGTTTGAGTTCACTTGCTTTGGTCTGGCAAGCCTGTCTGAGTCATATTTATCACAGCTGCCTGTGAAAAATAGGTCAAAACTTCAAAATCAACTGTGGAGAATCGTCCTATTACGTGCAAGTTTGCCTAACTGCGAGTGCGTCATTCAGTAACACGGTATATCTATCTCAGTGCTACGCTGGAGGCACACCGTCTATGTAGTACATTTATATAAATACTTATCAATGAGTCCGGACTTTTGTAAGAACACAGAGCACTAAGACTGTCACATCAAGGAAACAGGAATGAATAAAGAATGAAATACAAAATAAGAAAGCGGAGAGGAGCCCATTGTCGGGCCTCGTGGTATAGAAAGAAATACGGAGCCATAAATGGTCCTGAACAGAGTTCTTGGGCCCCATGTTTAGTTTCCCATCAATAGAAGAGGCTTGCGTTGTGTACTTGTTCCTGTGAGGTGAAGGGTCGTCTATTGTTTTGCTGATTGAGGGTTTTGATCAGTTTCTATAGTTTTTTTTTTTTTTTTTGCCGTTTCCAAAACGAAATGCACTGCCTGGATTTGATTGTGCGAGCCAGTCCCCATCACCTTTGGCCGCGTGTACCCCCCCACTATGGCGTTCACCCTCCCATCCCAACCCCCTGAGCCCTTCCGGAATGTGTGTGTGTGTGTGTAAGTGTGTGTTTGTGCGCGTTTGTGTGTATCAGTTGACCACAGCTGGCTTGAGCACAACAGTGCCTGGGGGGATGACCACCCACGATAGGGGATCATGGGATCCCGCGGAAAGGTTCAAGACCCCCCCGGTCGACCCGTTCTCTGCCTCCTCCATCCGGCCCCTCTTGGCCTGTCTGCTGTGGGACCTCCGCTCAGACGAAGCCCCCAGCAAGGGCATCATGGACAGGCCCAGGGCCGAGGAGGGGAAGCCCGCCGAGAGCAGATGGGACTTGGCCAGGCCCAGCGGAGACCCGTTGAAGGACAGGATGGGCGCGCCTCCCAGGCTGCCTTGAGGCGAACCGGGGCAACCCAGCGCGCTGAGATCCAGGGGCCGAGGGCTGAGGGGGGACAGGGGAAGGCCACCGCCCAGACCCTGCAGGGCGTGGCCTCCGAGGAAAGCCGCCGCCGCCCCTGGGATGATAATGTGGGCCGCACTCAGGTAGGACAGCTCTGAATCCTTGCCCCCTCCTCCGGCAAGCACTCCACTTTGACTCCCCCTCAGCAGCGAGCCCACCCCCCCCGGGGAGCCCTGCTCCTGAGTCACAAAGTGGCCGTGGGCCTTGATGTGCTTGCGGAGAGAGCTGGGGTCCGTGTAGCGCTTCAGGCAGCCCACCATCTTGCAGTAGTACGGCTTGTCCACATAGTGTGTGCGCGTGTGCTTGAAGCGGTCGCTGGAGTTTGAGTAGCGCTTGTTGCAACCCTCGTAAGGACAAATGTAGGGCTTTTCACCTGCGTCGGGGAGAACAATCCAGATGTTGAGAACGCAATGACCAAATATCACAATTTTTCCTTTACAAAAATGAGGAAAAGGCTTTTGACCTCAGCCATGTGCAGCTGTCCTCACTGACCTGTGTGGGACCGGTTGTGTATCTTGAGGTTCTCCAGGCGTGAGAAGCTCTTGTTGCAGGTGGGACAGCGGTGGGGCTTCTCGTTAGTGTGAGTGCGGATGTGGATAAGCATCTTGTACCTTTAGAAAGACAAAAAAAAAAGAACGAATTCTTCTTTTATCCTCCACTGATACGTACACTTAACAAGTTACCCAAGTGCATGATTTTCTCACCGAGCATTGAAACCCCTCCCTTTGCGAGCGCAGCCCTCCCAGTGACAGCAGTACCCAGAGTCCTTCTCGGGCTTGACATGGAAGTCGTTGACATGGTCCACCAGGTCTTGCAGGGAGTCAAAGAGTAGATGGCACTGGGGGAGCGAAAAGCATCCGTCATTGTAAATGAATTGTGATGATATTGCGAGATTTTTGAACCTGGTGTGGAAGCAACGGGTTTGTAAAAATGGCTTCTTACTTTCTTCCAGTGGCAGGCCAGTTGCTCATCCGCTGAGAGGTCAGGAGAGGCCCTCCTGTCGCCCGTCTGGCCAATGAACATGGAAGACGGCAGGTGAAGTCCCGCCCCAGCTCCAATCGGCATGAAGAACTGAAAGGCCTGTGACATGTGACAATTCTGTTAAAGAAGCAGAAATGCACAAGAAGAGCGACGGGATTAGAAATCCACCGCACGCAAAAGAAAGAACAATGCACATATTTAGCTGCGTGTTTACTGCAATGCGCCCAAATACAGCTTGATGTGACTTGATTCACGCGGTGCCAACCGTTGGTCACTGCCCTGATAGCACCATTTACAATAGAGCATCAGGTGGATATCACAGACCGGCACCGATGGCCTCACATAGAAAGCAACTTCATTTTTGTCATGGGAGATCAGAGCAGCTGATCCTCAAAACTCCTCTTGTTCTCCGGGAGTCACCCGCTGCGCGCTACAAAACCTCCCTACACCCCCGAGCTCGCCATGAGAGCTGCAAGGTCGGCTCGGGCTCAAAGAGCTAATGCGCCGGCTTACACACACACACACACACACACACACACAATGTAACTTAGCTCAAGCAGAAAACTAGTATTGGGGAAAAGTAGCGCTGTTATATCCCCCCGAAAAACTGACTCCACATGCAAAAATGACGTGAGCTGATTAGGGAGAAAACATGTGAGTTGTTTTAATGTGTCTGTTTGAGTAACAAGCGCTTACCTTTGTGTACGTGTGTGTGCGCGTGTGTGTGGGAGGGGGAGTAAGTGGGGACAGAAAGCGTCCTATCTGCGCCCACGGGGGAGAAGTGAAGTGTAGGGCGTCTGTAATTGTGGGGTCGGAGGCTATCTAGGAATCAGTGGGGCGGCTGAATGGTTCCCAGCCAGCGCGTCTCAATTCAATTGGGAGGGAATTGAATCAGGCGGCGTGAGGCTGCACCTCGTCTTAAATTTGATTATATACACAAACGCACACATGCACACACTCACATGCCAGTGGGACCACTGACAGAGGCTTTTGTTGGGGACACAAGAGGTGTTTGATAAGAGCTACCACCCCCCCCCCCTCTCTCTCTCTCTCTCTCTGTGTTCCTATAACACACACACATGACTCCCCCCCCCCCCCCTCGCAAAGCCTCCCTCCCCGACGAAGAGGGTGACACACTGATGTTGTTCCTGACTCGCTGACCCCAACAGGCTGAGTCACTCGTCGCCGCAGACAGCGACGTGTTAGAGACGGCGTTTACTCTCCCAACAGAGACAAAAGAGGTAGTGGGGGACGGGAGGGGAAGGGGGGGCGGCGGCAAACTAAATGATGGTAAAAGGTACTATTTGATTTCTTCAGTCGTTAATCGAACAGCGTGCAGCGTAAGTGGACTCTGCGGTGATTTGCTGGAGGGAGGCCCTACTGTAGTCGTACTCACTGAGGACATGTAGTTGCCGTTGGTCATTTCCGGAGAGCTGGGGCCGTGACGGGACGAGGGAGACATGCTGAGGTCCACGGCAGGGGGCGTGGGGGTGTCTGCCCGATTATTGGGGACCACCTGCACACCTGAGAAAACACACACACACACACACACACACACATTAAGAGGACCTCTCACCTGACGGATCTGATATTGGCGACCAGCAGGCTGTCGCTTCGCAGTTACCCGTATGTGGAGACGCTGGCGAGGCGGGCTCTATGACCGCGGTGCCGTCGTCCGTCATGTGGAGCAGGCGCGCTCGCTTGGGGTGCAGCGGGGACATGGGGGTAGAGCGCACCCCTCTGTCCCACCCATTCGCCCGCCGAGGGAGCTTCAGGTCCAGGGGCTCGTCCAGGGACAGCATGACCACCAACCGCTGACCTCCCACCTGCGAAAAAACAGTCACAGAGGGGCGGAGTTAGACCGACGAGGGGTGGGGCGGGGGGTAGGTGGGTTTTCCTGTAACCACACGTATGGAGCGTTGCATTCCCGTGTGAGGGTGTCAGATTCTCACACCTGCAACAGTTCCCACGTGAATGGGGTGGAAGGTTTGTCACACTGGTTAAGAAATACTCTCCAACAATGGTAAACACACACACACACACACACACACACACACAGAGGTCTGAGTGACCCCCTCCTCATCTTCCATGCTGACCTTTACTCACACACTCTTCCTGAGGAATTTCTCCAATCCAATCCAGATGGTCACCCTCAGCGGCAGCTTTTGCTCCCCCCCCCACCCTCCTCCCCTCCCTCCGCCCTCTTGCACCCTGTCACATCAACCCCACCCCGGCCCCCCCACAATGTGCACCTTCAGACCCCACGGACCTTTAAGACCCACCAGCGGACGCCCCACCCACCCTTCCCCTCCGGGCCTTCAAGTCCAGCTGCATCTACTCCATCTACCTCCTCCCTCTGCTAAACACACTGACCCCTGGACCCGGCCTGAGGGATGTAAGCAGGAAGCTTCATCTAACCGTCATCCCCGAGTTTTAGTTGTGGTTTTATTCTGCTGCCAACAAAGTGAGCCGGCGTCCTCGTGTCAGAGCGCGCACGGCTCCACGCGCACGGCTCCACCCGCCTGGCTCCACGCACACGGCTCCACGCCAGGCCCATAGTCGCTGCTAGTACGGTACTGCCGGTTTAAGGCGCAGCTCTCTATTCAGCACAATGTGTTAGGCTTCATTTCTCCTTCTCCAGAGGCCTCACAACACACACACACACACACACACACAAGCAATTAATCAAACTGTAATTTCAACAACCCCCCCCTCTATTCCTCTCCCTGTCCCTTTTACACACATGCCGACATACACTCGCTGAAGCCGCGGTTGGTGGGAGAGAATGGTGGGCTTTGAGCGTGACTGGCCGGGGGCCACATGAGAAGCCCTTGTGTCTGGGAGGCACAGAGGTCACCAGGTTCACCAGTCCAACCAGGGATGGCCACCAGCTCTCAGACACACACACACACACACATGCACACAACCAGGGGGAGAGGAGGGGGGGGTGTGAAGACTCAATCAGCCGTAGATAAGAGGATGATGATCCACACACGTACCGGTGCAAACAGAGGAACATACTGTATGAGCAGCATGGTGGTGTTATCAGTGACATCTTTCTGTTCGGCGTATGTACATGCACATGTATGTTTCCACGTGCAAATAAAGGATCCTATTAGGCAAACAATTGCTTTGATCTGAATATGAAATATGAGCCCCTCCTCTAAGTCCTTTTGACCAACACCAGCTACAGTAAGAGCTACTTGTCCCTTAATACCTGCCAAATAATTTCCCCATCATCCTCGACTTTGCTACATGTTTCCATCATACCCTGACATATGCTTAACGTATTATTACTAGTAGTTACTAGTAGTTAGCTACTAAACCCAGGGAAATTGTGAAATAATAAAAATGTATTAATGGCCGCTGCAATGATCCTTTTGACCGAAGACAGTTGATGAAATGGGGAAGTGCTGCCATTAGCTGTGAAAATCAACATCTTTATATCAGGCAGAGCGGATTTGCCCCCCATTGCTGCGGCTGATACCACATCTCTGTTTTTCTTGCGTGTGACTAACTTACTGTAGCTCCTACCACCTCAGAGCCTGCCAAGACTTTTGTCTTTATTGTTTGGCCGAAGTAACATAAAATCACTTATCATCCACGTTGATGGAGTAGAAGCTCGAACACTGAGACGGAGAATGAACTAAACCTTTCTATAAATCAGTTGCAGTGACAAACAACCATGAACATGCTATGGCCATGTTTGTAAAACACAACCATGAACAAACGTGGAACTTGATCTATATCAACGTGGAATATAAAACATTTTGCTACCTCAAATGTGACTAACATGTGATCCTACGGTTCGAACTGTGACCAGGAGAGCGAAGCTCCTGGGGTCAACACACACAAAAGCTCCTCTGAGGCGGCTGCTCCACGTGCAAACCATTACCAACCCTCAATAATAGAATCTATAGACAATCCATTCAAAATGTGTCCTTTCCCCGTTATAATGAAGAGCATTGTTGGGATTATTCAGCCTGTTGGACGTTGGAGAAGAAACAAAGTCACTTTAAATCATAAGTTAGTGAAACAAATATATTATTTGTGTACAGGTTCAGTACTTCTAGCATTTAGCACTTAATTATTTTTACTGACTTGTTCACTCAATCCATTGGTCCATTACGGGAATATTAATCATGAACAGTTTTGATTAATCAATCATTTGACTCACTTCTCTAAAAACGGCACGTTTCCAGCTTTTGAAATATGATAATGGAACTAATTACATTGCACATTTACCCTTCTTATAATACTGGACCAAAGCACAGTCATGTCTCTCCAGAGAGGCTTTTGAATATGAATTAAAAGGAAATAATGATATATGGAGCCTAATTCGTCCCAACTGTGAACGTCTGGTGAACAAAGCGCGACATAGAGACTCACATTCTTCTGCTTCTCAAACAACCTCTTTGCAAAAACAGAGAATGACAAACAAACTTTCTTGGACTTCCGAGAAACCCAGCAGGTCATAAGATATCCCGCCTCACCCGAGGCAGTCAACAGCGCGCTAACGTGTTCCCTGTGGGGCCCCGGCGAGCGCAGCTTATGGTGAATCCGTCCCCACGGCTGGATTTCACCTCAGCTCACTCGGGGTTTGTTCCTTAGCGGAGAAGTAGCAGAGTGAGTCGCTGGGAAGAGACTCCCCCGGCATGTGGGTCTTGGCCTGGAGTTACGGCAACCTCGACTATACCTCCTCCAAACACCAACGGCCACTGATGGAGGGTTTGCTGGAAATGCGAGACAAAGAGAAAAAGGGGAACCGAGAGAAAGAATGATCCACGGGGGAGGAAGGAGTGTGGTGTTGGCGTGATATGCGAGTGTGCGTGTGTGGCGGACGGCTGTGAAGTTTGTGGATGGGGTGTTGGCCGGCCCCCATGTGGACTTCCTTGCTCAGCCGTGGGGTGGACAGTCTCTCTGAAAGGCGGCATTGTCCCTTCTCTGGGCCCTCGTCTCTCTCTCTCTCTCTCTCTCTCTCTCTAGCAGAGTCAACACAGGCTACAGCAGAGAGAGAAAGAGAGAGAGAGGAGGGACGACCGATGGGGCCACAGCAAGGATGCACTAGGGTGAGGATGAAGGGAGGAGGAAGTGGAAGTGGAAGAGGAGTCCTGCTAAATGAGACGTTTGTGTGTGTCCTCTACAGCAACCCCCAGTCACCTATTCCCCTGCATAACCCTTTCCCACCCACATCCACCCCGCTGCATCGGGAAAACGCCCTTTGATGAGGCGTGTGTGTGTTTCGGAGGGGGGGGTAAACGCGGGTCGAGGTTGGAGGGTGTGGGAGTTGTCAGGTGGGGGAAGCCGTAGCTGGAAAAGTGGGGGGCATCCGGTCAAAGAAGAGCGATGTGTTTCGACACCTCCGCGCTCCGAGGCCCGGGCTCACGCGGATCAGAGCTGACCTTTGACCCTGCTCCGACCGATTGATCTCCACCCTGATGTGGCTCACGTGCTCCGCTCCATCCGACGGGCAGCGAAGAGCAACGAGGAACATCAGACATGTGCGGAACAAGGCGTTACAGGGTGAGAAATCGCACGGCGGAATATTTTATTTTCTGCGACGGTTTGGAGAGAGCGAGAGAATGTGTGACATTCCCCCCCCCCTTCTGAGGCTGGCTGTAACTTAATCCGCCTCCTACTGTGACCCTGGGAGGTGGTCTGCAGGAGGTAAGGCATCCCTCCCCGGGGCCCTTTGCTCTCTCTCTTTTTCATTTCAAACAAAAAAACACTCACAGAACGCAGAGAGAGAGAGGTGGGAAAACGTCTAACAACTCGTGGCTGGTGTGAAGCACAGAAACAAAAACTGTTAAAAATGTTCTTGCAGGCAGAAGCAATTCCCCAAATCTTGTTGTGATGCAACCCAGCGACCTTTTGAGGCTGCGGTTATCTTGAAGTCAGTGAGTTCCAAAGCTCCTGCGATCCTGAGACCAAGTTCTGAAACCGAGATGGCAGCGCTCCGAAAAAGTCTTCACCACCGCATCATTAGAGAGGACCAGAGACTCACTCATGCATCCGTGTTCATCGAGTCCAGTGCAGCATCGTCCAACAACTCTGTTTAGTCCGTGTGTTTCTGTTGGCTTTGTAATTCTGTGGTTTCGCAGAGATAAAGAACCTTGCAGCTCGGGTCATGTCCGGACCGGCTGGTTTTTTACATCGCCCAGGTGTGGAGGAGGGGTCAAAGGTGACTGGTTGAGGCGTGGGTGGGGTGTGAACTCTGACCCCTCGCATTCAGCTTTTACGTTTTCAACTGGCGGCCCGAGGAAGAGTTAAACGGCTCGCGGCACTTCGAGCGGGTTTCCGCACGCGGTAATCGGATATAAGTGATCGCGTTAATTTTCCTTTTACATTTACGCACCTTTAGTTTATATCCCTCACAAAGAAAAACACAGTCAGACTAAAGCGAGACTGGATAATAATAATCTTTGTCTACTCATCCGGTCACCCCTTCACTCCCACTTCCGTCACTGGTGACGTTGTTTCTTGAGGTAAGTGACCCCACCTCCGCTGCCCCCGCATGCGCCCTCCACCCTCCGCCACTGATGGATCACACACACACACACACACACACACACACACAGTTTAGAGATTTTCTACTGTTGCCTCTGCCCTCCTCAGCCAGCTGACTCCTCAGACAGGAAACCTCAGTTTCCATTCCTCCTCCTCCTCCTCCTGCGGGCCTCTCATTCCTTCTTTTTCTCTCTTTATTCCTCTACTCTTTGCTCTTTTTTTCCGTCACGTCCACCGCTCGGCTTCCTCTTTCATTGTGTTATTCTCCTCCACTCCTCATCTCATTATTCCCTCACCTACTACTTTAACGTCTACCTGG